GTTTTTTTTTTCTCCCGTCTTTTTTCTTAACATTTCTTTCAACTGAATAGTGCTCTAGTAGATTTTTGTTCTTTCTCCAATTTTTCATGAGATTTCTTTTTTTCATTCTCCTTTCTTGGTGTCAGTAAGGGTCATCTTTCTTTTTAGAAGAGCTGTCAAAGCTACTTAACTCTTTTGTAAGTGCAACTTCCTATAGCACTAGCCAAGATATGATGCAGATGTTTATTCAAATGCCAGCCCATAAAGCAGAGCGGACATGTCTATTCTCTTAGAATCTTCCTGAAAGGACTTAGAAGCAGAAAATATTTGAGAACTTTTTTGGCAATATTATAATAATCATAAAAAAGGGGAGTGAATCATTATCTTCACAGTTTGATCATTATCAAGGGAGGTAACTAACATTCTGAATATGAAATAGAAAATATACTCTTTATTATACATGTGCAAGAGCCCCCAGTATTCTCCATTTTTAAAAATGTATTTATTCTTTTTTTTAAACACAACTATAGTTTGAATCCACAACAAAATGCCATTTCATTTTTTTATTTTTTATTTAAAAAAAAAAAAAAAATGTTTTTAAACAGTGTGAACATGTCAGAATAAGCAAACTCTTTTTGGAAAACTAGAGATGGAAGCTGTTTTATTTTTTCTTAACTATTTTTTATATTTTATTAAAAAAAATGCAAAACATGGAAACTTTTGCACACACTTAATCTTTTCTGTATTTTTAAAATTTTTTGGAAAGATTTTAAGTCACTGTATTACAATTGTCAGTGGTTGACATTCAAATCTTTTATTGTGTAGGACTTATATTTTTTAAAGAAACTTGCATTACCTACATTATGTATGTGGATATCACAGCATGTTACTTATTTTTATGTACTTAAACCCATTAACTGCAGCATAAATTTGTCACATTCAGTTGAGACATAAAACTGAAACTGTGCAAATTCTTGTAATCTATAGTATGCTAGTGAAAGTGGTAAGAAAATGTAAAAAGTACGAGGTTGTCATTGAACAGTCCAATAATGTTATCTACTTGCTGACCCATGGAGATTAACAACTAAGATTATTTATTATCTCATTTCCCTGTTCTTCTCTCCCCTTTTCCCTGTATCTTCTCATTCTCTACCTTATCCCTCCCAAACTTAATTGTTCGTCTATTTTTTGTGTAAATATTATACAAAACTGAATTTGCTTCAAATGCAAAAAAAAAAAAAAAAAATGATAAAGAATGCACAATATTTCTACTGCATCATCTTTTAATTAATTTTTTCGTTCTCTCTCTCTCTCTCTCTCTCACCATGGAGAATTTTTAATGTATTGCAATTTTCACACTTTTTCATGCCTTATTCTTTTTTTTTTGTTATCCAGTCAGCAAACTTGTTCATTTTTCTTGGATTTTCTTTTCATGCCCCCTCTTGCTCTCTCTTTCATCTGCTATTTCAACTCTGGAAAAGGATTATGAATCTTGGGAGTCCTTCACAAATCACTGTCTGATGTTGGTTTCTTCTACAAAGGGGGATGATGGTTTGAATGTTGCCAGAAGGTATATGCTTTTGTATGTGCAGGCTGGTAGACATAGGACACACTGTTTAAAAATAAGACAATAGATGAAGCTTCTACTCAAATACAAGTTCCCACTAAAAATAATGTTTGAAGTTTTATATATATATATATATAATCTCCAAGTATAGGATTGGTGTATATGGAATAAATTCCAATAACCAACAATTAGTATTCTTAAAAGAGTGCTCAATACAGAGTAGAGCAAATATAATTATTTAAAAATTATAACAAAAATATGTTATAAAATCACTAAAAAAATACATTTTTATAACATATTTATGTTATACATTTTTATAACATATTTATTATTTTAAATAGATAATTTTTTTAAATATATATATATATTATATATATATATATATATATATATATATATATATATATATATATATATTATAGTTAAAAGAAAGAACAGTAAGATATATAATCCAGTGTTCTTATTGATATTTTTATTTTTACAAAACAGTGCTCAATGTAAATTTACAGAGCATAAATATTATAAATTAACTGACTTAAAAATATGGTTCCTTCACTACACAGGAATTATCATGTTTCAAAAACTGAAGCTAAAAACATAAAATTTAATTATATAATTAAATTAAAAGCATTAGTTCTGTTTCATCTTCAAGTGAATTTTGGAATAACTTATTTTTAAATTTACTGAATCGCTTGAGGATGAAATGGAACTAATGTCTTTAATTTAATCACAAAATTAAATTTGTGGCTTTTAGCTTCCATTTTTGAAACATGGTTAGAACTGTAGCGAAAAAAAAAAACATATTTTAAATGAATTGATTTATAATATTAATGCTCTGTAAATTTACATTGAGCACTATTTTGTAAAAATAAAAATATCTATAAGAACACCGGATTATATATCTTTTTTGTTCTTTATTTATATATATATATATATATATATATATATATATATATATATATATATATATATATATATTATAAATTAACTGATTTACAAAATATGGTTTCTTTGATACATAGGAATTACTGTGTTCCAAAAACTGAAGCTAAAAACTTCAAATTTAATTATGAATTGTATATTCATTTAAAACTCAGTAAATTTAAAAATAAGTTATCACAGGTCATTGTGACTGAGGGTTTGAGTGTACTGGCCTTGTTCAAATGTTGGCTGCACCATATTATGCACTCTCCCAGAAACTCCCACAATAGTTTTAGTATAAACTATAGGTTGGCACTGTGGGTGTTGAACAAGCACATATTATGCTTGAACAGGTGAGTAACTGGTGAGCTACCCCAGCAGACAGGCATACTCAGAAATGTACAATCATCCCTTATATAAAGTGTTCTTTCCATTTTATTTTTCTTCTGCTTGCTCCTATTTTTCACCTTTGCATCCTTTTCTTTCTTGTCAGTTTTTCTTTAGTTGCTTCCAAATAAATATTATGTCAGTTTCCCTGTGAGAATGCTTGGAAGGACTGAAGGTAAGAAAGTGTATTGGTGATATCTAGCTATCTATCTAATATATATGGGCAGCAACCTTTCTTTTAAACATCTTTTCTTAAATATGATAGACAAGGAAAATTTTTTTTTTTTTTTTTAGTTTTTCCAGAGTTCTTACATTTTTCCAGTTGGTGGGAGTAAGGGGTGCAAAAATTTTTCATCTTGTTCCAAGTGCTTTTAACCACTTCAGCCATTTTCAAGGTGTTTGTTTTAGGTGTTGTTATATATATATATATATATATATATATATAACAGTGATGTTCATCCTGTACAAGGCCCATGAGCCACTTGAAGTAGAGGTTTACAGAGTAAAAAGCAGAATTTAATCAGATATGTCAGGAAGATAACAGCTAAGCTGAAACTTGAACAAGTTAAGATTGTAGTGATCAGGAAAACACCCTCTTGGAATTTGGTTCCACAGAGCAGTGGTTCATGGGAAGAAACTGCTCGTGGGGAACTTACACCCCACCAATGGAATAGGAATGGAATGAAGCTTGTTCACTACAATGTGTATAGCATAGCTCTTAGCCATGAAGGTTAGAACTGGTGGAAATAAGGAATGAAGTTCATTTGAGCACTTTCTATGGAAATAGCAATAGAGCAGTGAGAGGCTTGCGACATTTTGGTAATGGGTAAATAGCAGGACAAGCCGGGTTCTATAGCCTTGGATGGCAACTGGTCTACTGCAGAAAGTAATGGCAACCTACTGTAGGAAAAAATTTGCCTTGCCAGTGATGTATCGAAAGATTTATGATCGCCTAAGTGTGTATCACGCATGGCACATAACTGACTTGTTTTGTAAATTTGTCAACTCTTCCCATGATGATAACCTTCTCACACAAATATCAATTACAGAATGTTGTGTTTGAATATTTAAGCTAAAAATAACTACTGTTAACATTATTGGAACATTCTAGAATATTCCACTTGAATAATCTAGGGTATTAAAGCAATTTAAAAGCTTTAAAATCTGAAATTTGTATTGTACGAATACTTTTTTCACCCATTAAAATGGATAAATGGAATTGCATTAAATCAATGTTTTTTTCTGTTTTGTATGCATATTTAGTTATTATGTATCCATGTACAGTTAATTATATGAAAAGCATATTATGTTAATTCATTTGTTGGAAATACCTTAAATTTGTATGTATATGAATATTTGTTTCCCCCCACTATATATATATATATATATATATATATATATATATATATAATGTATGTTTGGGTAGAAACCTTTCTTTTTTAAATATCTTTCATTAAATATGGCATATAAAGTATTACTTCATTTTTTATTTAATTTTTCCAGGCTCCTTATATTTTTCTGTTTTGTAGTAGTCAGGGAGTACAGAAATAATGATGTAAATTTTCTGTATTCCCTTACTCCTACAAAATGGAAATGCATAAGGATGCTGGAAAAACTAAATAAAAAAAATATTAAGTAAATCTTCCTTGTCTGACATATTTAATGAAAGGTGTTTACTAAAGAAAGGTTGAGATATATATATATATATATATATATAGTAATCCATTGGTATAATCCAGGTGAGTCCTATTAGCACAACATAGAATTTGAAATATGTTAAAACTGACTCACAAAAAAGTTCTCCATGTTTATTTTATATATATATATATATAGTGTAACCTGGATATAAGAGAGTTGTCGGGACCGGAGAAGAAGTCTCTTATATCCGGGTTTGGTCTATTTTGTTTAGGTAAGTATGGGCTCTAATTTGGGACCAGAGAAAATCTCTCTTATATCCGTGTTACTATATATATATATATATATATATATATACACACAAGCAAGCAGGATAATAATTTCTGTTGAAATACAAAACATATTTTAATTTTTTTCTATTATACATTTTGAACAAGTTAAACAAATTAAAATATCTTTGTCAGTTGTAACTTCTTTAACACTGCCATTTTTTTTCTTTTTTAAATTTCAGTTCCACAACAGAAAATTTAGTGTCTCCAGAGCCACAAGAATCAAAGCAAAAGACTTGCTCCACAGAATGAAACCATCAAAAATTCCTGCTGAAACCTCGTAAAGCCTCTTAGCATTTGTTTGCAGTGCATGAAAACCAGAGTGGTGTGAAGGGGTGTGGAAGTATCTATTTGAGTGTTAAGGGGGTGGCTGTTGCTGCTGCTGCTGTTGTCTCAAGTTTTTGCTCTTCCGATGGACTTGCTCATTTTTGGTACCCATGTCTCTTTGACTGCCTCAATAGAAGCGGAGAATAAGAATTTCCAGCTTTTTGTATTTTGTGCTTTCATTGTTTACAGTACTGGATCACCGTCCACTGACCTTTTTGTTTGGTGCCTCATCAAGTTAATTAAAGCCTTGTCATGATTTTCTTTTGCAATTACGACCCGGCCAAAAAAAAAAAAAAAAATTATGATGAAGTAAATTTGTCAAGTCACAGTTCTGCAACACAATGAATAAATATAAATAACAAATTAAACGTTATAAAGATTTTCTCTTATTGATCTCCAAAACAGTCTTTAATTTTCCTGTTATGACATTAACTATAAATTTTCTTAAGTTGTTTGCCAACTTGTATTAGATTTTGTTTCTAGAAGAGTGTCGTAAACAAAAGGAAAACATTTGTATGGCATTTTTTTAAGCTTGGATCTCATTTATGAACCTGGGCAGTCATGGCTATCCACAACTTCCTATCCTTTATAGCTCTTGATAATGTTTGTATTTTTAATATCCCTTTCATTCCCTGTTCTGCTATCCATTTACACAAGCTTAGGTAGATTTCTCTCTAACCCTTTTCTATTTAGTCTATCCTGTGAGTATCAAATTTTTCAAGACGTCTTTCTTCATGTGTTCCAAAAATTTCTCTCTTTTTGATAAAAAAAGTCATATAGAAATGACAGTCTTTGCTGTTGATTTCATGCTCTTAGGTCCCTAATACAAGGATCATAGTCTTAATAATAGGGGTGGAAGTCAAATGTTTATCAATATGGAGATGTCTTAATAAAAGTGGGGTTGGAAAATTATTTAAAGGCTCAAAAATTAGAATTTAAGTACCCCCCCCCCGCCTCCCGGAACCATTACTCTAACACAGACAATATTCCCAGGATTTTTACCTCTTCAAGTTTAACAAATTATTAATCACCTTTTCTTTTTATATAAAGTTTTGTAATTGTTTATAATTGATATCTAGGAATTTGGTATATTTTTATTTTATGGTGTTTGTTAAGCAATGCAATGATATTGAATCTATGAATGCATGTCATCATAAAAACATGTAAGAAAAAACTGTCACCAACTATAATAATTGCTGTCTGAGTTTTAGTAAAAAGGGCCGAATAAATGGTATGGGGCAGTTGTCTTAATAAGGTAAGGTATCTGAAAATTTCCTGAAAAAAAAAATGTCTACATTTTCTATTAGGCACCTGATAAAAATAGTATAATAAGAGCATGAAATAAAAAAAAAAAAAAAATTATTTATTTATTTTTTTTTTTTAACCCCAGAACCATTACTGTAATACAGCCAACCTCATTCCCAGGATTCTTACATGTACAAGTTTAACAAATTATTAATCATTTTTTCCTTTTATATAAAGTTTTGTAATTTGGTTTAGTTTGGTTTCCATGCTCCTCAAAACCTCCTGATCAGAGGCCTTGCTGCTGGATGTAGTTTATCATCTTACCCAGGACGCGGATGTAGTTTATTGTCATACTCAGGATGGATAAAGTTTTGTAAATGTTTATAACTGATATCTAGAAATTTGATATTTTATTTTATTCATGGCAATAGATATTTTAGAGCAGACTGTATACCAAAAGATACCTGAAAATATAATTTTGCAGCTGCTCAATGTTAAATTTCTTTTCAAGTTCTTATATGTAAAACGTTAAGGAGATGATCTCTTAAGCACTTTATACTTATGCAGCTTTTAATGTATCATATAAGAGTTTCTAAGCTTTTTCATTTTGTCGATGTTGCAAAATATAATGGTGAAATTGTATATTAGCAATACCCCCAAAAAAACTTTATTAAAAAAGTTTGTCAAAGAATGGAATATACAGTTCCCAGTAAAAAGCAGTAAATTCTGAAAGTCATGAGACAGTTGTTGAAAACTGGTGACAACTGATGTAACTGAAAAATTCAGGAAGAATTTCTGCGCATTTCGTCAATTCCTACATCGGATGATCTTCTTTGAAAAGTACATAACTTGATGCTCAAAATCAGTGAGTTGTTTAGCCATACGAGAAGGACAGAACGAAAGATGAAAGTTGTTTGCAAATAATCTTTAAATGATGAGTCACAAGATCAAGCAGCAATTAATCATAAAAGAACCAATCAGAATAAAGTAATTATATGAGAGCTGAATGATTATTCAAGGTCATGGATATTCAAGAAATTTATTCAAGGTTATTTAAGGTTAGTTATTCCTGAAATTTAAAACACTGAAATTTGCTGCTTTTTTTTTTTACTGGACAACCTATAGTTATCCTGAAAAGAAAACTAAAAAAATGGAACTGGATTTTAAAAAAAAATGCAATGAAATATAATCTATGAATACATGTCATATCATAATAATTACTGTTTATTTTTGGAGTTTTAGGGAAACGTGCAAAATAAATGGCAGAAAAAGGTGTCTTAATAAGGTCAGGGGGTCTGAAAATTTCCTGGGGAAAAATTCATTGTCCACACCTATTAATACAGACATGAAATAAAAAAAAAATGTTAATACATTTTGGAATTTTTATAATAAAACATATATATAATCAAATATTAGTAAATTAGTAATATCATAATTTCAAGATTAGTATAAAATTATTAACCAAATATTACTAATTTATCATTTCAAAAATAGATAAAGATATTAATCTTAGTTATGTTATAAAATTCCAAATTGATTATTATCACATATTGTACCATAATGTTAAAACATCTGGCTCAGTCTGCCTTAAGATTTTAAGAACACTGAATGTCTGGAAGTGGAGAGACCATAAATATCTGTAGGCTTTATTCCCAAGCTTAACTCTTCATACTGTTGACAATATATAATACACACTATTAAAAAGAATTGTGGGAACAGGGATTTGATATAAAAATTATATTTTTGCATTGAAACATGTGCTTTTGAAATTTGGTGTCTGACAAGTTCTATTGTTTTCCCAAACTTTTTCTAGCAGGCTACGTCTCTTGCATTCCCCTCCCAAACCCATAGGAAGATATTTCTTTTTTGGTATTAGGTATACTGCAAATTCAAAACAGTAACTAGTCATGCATCTGTGTTTTATGGTTTTTTATGCCATTAGATAGGATGTCACCAGACAAATGTCCACAGCTATAACATCCACAATTTTAATTTTAAACATTTTAAATGTTGCTTTTCTATAGTCAGGGCTTTGTGTGTGCATGTATTTGTGTGTGCGCATTTCATCTGTGGAAAAATATATATATAAGCCAGTTCACCCTGAAGATCCATTTAGGTGAAACCTAGGTAGGTAGTTTCTGGCTCACTAGGATTTTATATATATATATATATATATATATAATATATATGGGCATGTTCCGTTGAATATGATAGACAAGTAAAATTTGATGAATTTGAGTTTTCTAATGTCCATAAATTTTTCTGTTTGTTAGGGTAGGGAGTGTAAAAATTGTATATTGTCCCAAGCATTTTTGGCCACTTCTTTTTTTATATATATATATATATATATATATATATATATATATATATGTGACAATTATAAAACAGGTGTCCCTTGAGGTGGTGTAATGGTTAGCAAGCTTGACTTGCTAGAACAATTATGACTGAGTAGTGAGTTTGATTATCACTGGGTGCTCCCCCTACTTTCGGCCTTGTGCCACATCTAAACTATGCTTGGGAAATAAAGGGCATCTCGATGTGGTGTAATGGTTAGGAAACTTGTCTTGCTCGGTTATTTACGACTGAGTAGTGAGTTTGATCCTCACTGGGTGCCCCATGCTTCTGGCCTTGTACCACATTTTATAAAACAGTTATTGGTCAAAGTTGAATTAGACCAGGAAACAGTTGTATTAAAAAGTGCTCAATACTCAAATAAAGAGAATAAAAATTTAACATGCAGAGTTAATAAATTTAAAAAATTAGGAGATCAGTAAATCATACTACCTTGGTTTCAACTTTTTGGTATCCTCAATATATATATATATATATATATATATATATATTGGCCAATATTGCCTGAGGATACCGAGAAGTTGAAACCAAGGGAGCATGATTTGCTGATCTCCTAAATTTTAAAATATGGTGGACTCTCATTGTATTCGACGTATGATGGTGAGCAACTCTTTTCCTAGGAACTGACAGCCAGACACCAGCACATATGATTTGATTATAGTGGTGAAGGCTTTGTGCAGAACCATCCACACTTTTTGAAGGGCTGAATACAGAGACATGGTGCACTATGTGCTACAGGGTCCCCAAACTATGGTCCGTATCTTTTGAATTCAGAGTTGTCCTTCTTCTAGACCAGTTGCCATCCAAGGCTATAGAACCCAGTCTGTCCTGCTATTTACCCATAGCTGGAGGGAGAAGAAGTGGATTAATACCTTTCCCAAGGGCATTAGCACATAAGTGAATGTAATGGATTTGACTGGAATTCAAACTCAGCTTTCCCTCAGTCTGAGCCATGACCCACTACTCCACTGTGCCTCATGTGGGTGTGTTACTGCACATTGCAGAGACAAGAAAGAAAGAAATATTACTCTACAAACCTTGATCACTGGCCCCTGCATTTGTTACGGGCTGTCTGATCCCATATTTCAGGACAATTAAGCCTGGGTGGGTGGGTAAGAGAAAGTTTCAAAACTGAGTCATAACTTATTTAAGCAAATGTAACAGAAAATCACATTCTTCATGAGAATTGGCTAAAAGGTTTCATGAGTTTTTCCCCTATGAATTTAACAAGTTTAAGTTTAAGGAAATACAAGATATCAGCCAAATTTGGACATCACCTGTGCAAAGGTTAGAAATAAAGCAAAATGTACGAAGGGTAAAATGTGTGG